TGTCCAACATTTATTTCCAGTGCTCTGTCTGCTCTGCTTTTGAGCATTATTTATGTGACGGGCTTTCTGATGCTTCTATGGGGATGTCAGGAATGTCTGGCAATAAACACCTGCTTTAAAGTCACAAAATTGTTTCCACTACAGCACCCTGTTTTATCTAATAACACCTCAGCATCTCCAGCTATGCTCTATTCCGCCTTAGTTCCAGGGGAAAGACATACACAGGAAAACAGAATCAAACCAGCAGCCTCCCCGCCTTGATCTGTATCTGCTCTTTTATCTGAAACTTTCCATGTTCAGTGTCTCCCCGGACAGTTGTGTTTGTGTATACAGGAAAGCAGTTTACTTCTCATTCTTGCCACCTGTAAAAGATGAAGTGGACTGTTCTGACTGGGCTGACTGAAACCTTCAGCTGGAATTGTAAGCAAGCTTCATCAAAACGCTTTTCTTGCAACAGTTAGAAGGAAAAAAAAGAGATCTTGGCTACAAGTATGTAGTGGTTTCTTTCATGCAGGAGGAAAAGTTTTTGCATTCTCAGATGGAGTCCTTGAGGTTTTGCTTATGAATATGTCTCCTGAGAAGATTGTTTCTTTCCCAGACGTTGAAGAGGTAGCAGCTGAGCTGGAGCTTCTCCTTGCCTTCCTCTTCAGGGCCTTACTTCCCTGCTGATTCCCCTCTCCTCCTTACATCTCCCAAAGTTTTTAGCTTTGTGTCAGAGCTGACTCCATCAAACCTTGACATCTTTGTGTCCTCACCTCAGAGGAGCAACTCAAACTGTGCATCTCTAGGACAGGGCCACAGGCTCGGCTCCTAAAACTGAGGTTTAGGGGTGCCTAAACTGAGATGCAGGTGCTGAGAAAGTGGCAGTGGGCAGGGGCCTTGGTGAGGGCAGTTCTGCTCTTGTCCTCTCCAAGTTTATCTGTGGGGTAACAAGCAGACTGGAGAGCATTTTCAGCATTAATAAGAGACAGAAACAGCAGACCCTTCCTTTGTACCATGCCTTCCTCACTGCTTCAAATACGTGTGGCTGCACAGCATGATAAACAAATGAAATCATGGAGGCACTGATCTGGAAACAGGAGTGACCCATTTGAAAGAGCTCAGGCCCTTTGGAGCAGTGTTTGCTCTGATCTGAAAACTTGGTTAGGATCCTTCTCTGTGTCACACAGCATTCTGTGTGGCCAGCAAGGTTTTCTACAAAGAGACCTGTAAGCAGATTAAAAGCAGCAGTGCCGGCCTTGCGGGAGGAGCCCCACAGCAGGCACCAGTGAGGCCACCATCACGACAGTCCCCTTTCCCACACACCTCCCCGCGCTGTTCTTCCAGTTTGTCGGCAGCAGAGCAGGGCTGGTTCTCACCCATCCCCAGAGTCAGGTTTTGTGCAAAGCAGGTTGCTTTTTCACCAGCTGTGAAACCAACTGCACAGGTTGGGGGTAACCACAGAGTAGCTCGACTAGTCAGAAGCTGCCATTTTGTGATATGCATGCAGTTTCATAAGGAGTCTGTGAAGCTCTTCCTTGACAAGAAAGGCAGCAGGTCTCCTTAGTGCAGATGGGAAGGAAGAGCGCTCACCCAAGCCCACACCTTAGGATATTCCTGGCCAAGTCCATAACTGAATTTTGGAAGTGTTCACTCTATTGTGATGAGCTGTTTTTGGAAGAGAAAGTGTGTGTATCCATGCTGCTGGTGTCTGAGGTCTTTTTCCTTTATGAATGCTGGTGGTTAAGGTTCGTATTTTTTTTTCTTAATGTCATCTTCACCCATTAGCCTGTGCTGGTAAGGCAACGCCACCCACATCACCTGTCCCAAAAGGCCCAATCTCTCTTCCACATGAAAATGTAATTGTGAGCCAGCAACACAAGGAGGGACCTACAGGTGGGAAGGGCACAGGGGGGAAAAAAGGAGACAGAGTTTGAGTACAATTAATTGAACAATTTCCTCTTAAAAGAAAAAATAATAATACATTGTACAAATGCTTAAAGCACAGCAAGGAAAAGTCAGGGGGAAAGAAGGGAAAAGTGGAAAATGATGCACAGTACGCAACATATTGAAATTAAAAGTTGCCAAGGCTTTTGTGTTTGGGGTTTTTAAAACAAAACATTAAGTTTCTGGCCTTCTCTGGTTCTTACTGCCCTCCTGGAATGCTTCTGGTTTGTATTCCCCTCCTGAACATTGCTCCCAACAGTTCCTGTCTGAAGAGTCATCTTGCTCTGTGTCTGCTGCCTTGTATTTGGGCAGCAAGGAGTTACAGAATGTGGCTCTTGGTGTGACAGAAGTGAAGCTCCCTCCATCCTGGACTCTTCATGCTTGTACTTCTCTCCATCTTCAGATACTTTCCTGCTCTCTTCCCCAGTAAAGCCCTCCTTCTCATTCTGTTTTCAGTTTTCCTTTGGCCTTACACACAGTTTCCACACAGGAATGTTTCCTGGCCTCACTCATGCAGCTCATCTTGTTGAGGGTGAGCACCAGTGTTGGGATGCAGCAGCCACGCAGGTGCTTCCCATGGACACTGTTTGAAGATCTGTGTATCTCAATCCACTTTGCCAATTTTGTCTTTTCATCCATCGTTCACAAATACCTGCTGTTGACAGCAGCAACCAGGGGCTGCTGAGAAGGAAGATCCTCTGGTTTCCCTTCTTTTTACCCTTGGAGAAGTGATTGTGGGGTCACTTCATTTCCATGCACCCCAAATCCACATTTCACCCCAAATATGTGCTGAGGTGAAAAAGACATTGCTTGCTGGTGTGTGGTGTGTGAATGTTAGCACCACTGTGGTTGAAGTAAGAGTGGGTGGCCATGGTCAAGGAGAAGAACCCTTTCAGCAGCAGCATGGAGTCACATCTCTCGTCATTAATCCTTCCTTTCATCCAAACTCTTGGACTAAGCTGAAGCATTTCCAGAGAGACACAGATGTGCTGTTCCAGTCCCCAGAATGCCATGTGTGGAAGAAGGCAGCAGGCCAGAAACCCACAGGAGTGCTTCCTCTGTTTTGTTTTGTTTTGTTTTTTCAAACATTTCCCCTGTATGGACGCGGCCTGGCTTTGGGTTCTGGTTTCACTGCCTTGCCTGCAACATCAGCCACCAGACCCTGCTGCCTGCACGTTACCGGGAATGCTGTGTGTGCCCCCTGCTTCTCATCCACGCCTGTCTCACATTTCTCCAAGTTGTAAAGCAGTGCTGCTCCTTAATTATTACACGTTGAGATTTCAGCTGGGTTTTTAGAAATGCCTCCTGATGTTTGTAATAACTTCATTTGAATTTTTTACCTTAAGTTTATCCAGGCAAGAAGCAATGAGTCAAAACATAGAATTCAAATGCAAATGCAAATGCAAAAAGCACAAGGGTGCTTGTAGGTGACCTTTTATTTCCAGATGCCCTCAAATTCTCCAGCATTATACGCCGATTAGGGCATAGTTGCACGTTTTAATGGGGAGATAATAAGATGAGCAATGAACTTTGTTGAAAGCTTTTGTGCAAACTAGTTAATATAAACCGATGTGTTTTGATTAAAAGATGAGATTGTTCCTTTGACAGTTCACTCTTTTCCTCCAGTCCACCCCCATCAGAATTCCCCGGAAGAGGTGTGTCAAGGATTATGCTCTATTAAGTGATAGTCCACCATCTGGAAATGCTGCTTAGCCTTGACATCTGTTTAATGGTCACTGATCATCACTTGCAGTTGGACGTGATGATCTTGGAGGTCTTTTCCAACCTTGATGATTCTGTGGTGATTCTAAGAAAATGAGGTCGATGCAAGTTATTTGCAAGGCTACATTTGAACTTCAGTTTGCCTGAGAACTAGCTTCATACCTTCTGTGATTACTCCTTGCTTGCAAAAAAAGTCCTATAATAGGAAATATGGGCAATGCAGGGACATGCACATGTTGTACTATGTCAGATGGAGGACTTAAACTGCTCACCCGGAGTTTCTAAACCCCTGCAGTTACCAAGCAGCTGTTCGGCTTGCAGATAAATGCTGCAGTGACTGTGTGTAGTCTTGTTGCCTCAGCTACACACTGTCAACAAGAAGGAGGTGGGGAAGGACTTAACACAAGGAAAGTCTGAGCTTTCCTTGCTAAGCTCATGTCCTGGAACAATTGCTGGAAAGCAGCACATGGGATGCAGTTACATGCCGTGTAGCATTGTGAGCATGAGTATCCAGATTCAGTCCTGCTTATTTCCACTTTAGATACTTGCTGTGCTTGTATGGAGCTTGGAAGAGGTGCAGCTCTGCCCCTTTGTTTGCCTTTCTCATTTTATGTTGCTTGAACGTGTCGTGTCTTTAGCAGTGGTAATGGTGCAGACTGATAGGGGAACAGAGAATGTCATTAAGGTGGACATCTTAGGCATGTGTTGCCTTTGTTGGAGGGTTGGTGAAACAGCAAAGGATGCTTCCTGCTACTGCTTCTTGGCTTAATGTTTTGTCTCCAGGTGAGGTCAGAGACCAACATGTAGACAAACTTCAGCGTCTTTTGCTTATCTGAAACATAGCCAGCTTTTTACCCGTCCTGTGATAACCTTTGACATTTAATTGTACCAGTTGGTTGCATGAAGCCTTTATATTCCCTTTGGAAAACATTTCCCACTGCTTACAATTTTATCAGAGTAACACGAGGACGTATGCTATGTCAGTCTATATCTGTATTCTGTACACCTGTTTACAGATAATACATCCGTGTGTCTCTGGTGCAGTATATTTGTAGCAGACCTAAGCTTTTCTTTGGTAAAACCAGTTGCATCACACTTGAAGAAATTGCTAAGGGTGTGAGTTTATTTTAGAAAATAAATTGTTTTTTAACAGATCTGTAATCATCATTCTGATTGGTTCTGTGGTGTTTTGATCCCTTTTCAGCTGTAAGTTACTGAGTGATAGATAGGATGAGGCAGATGTTCGGACGCTTGATTGGCAGCACTGCTTGTGGGTCTGTGAATCCTCACTGCTGGTAGTTGTGTGTTAGTGGAGAGTGTCCCACTGAAAGCTTCTCTCTGTTTGCTTGCAGACAGTCAGGCTGATGCGGAGGCGCCTGCTACAGGGGGTGAAGTCTTGGACCTGACATCCTGTGAGAAGGAGCAGCCAGAGGAAGTCAGCGAGCTACCAGGCAGTGAGTGCAGCCCCAAGGAGGAGCCAAAGGCTGACTCCCCACCAGCAGAAGAGGATGCCGAAGAAAAAGCAGATGAATATGAAGAGGGCCCTGAGGAAGATTCTGTAAGTAACAAAAGTCTTGACCTCAATTTTGCCAGCAAATTAATGGACTTCAAGCTGGCAGAGAATGACCAGAGTGCAGGCAGCAATTCTCAGACTGAAAGGAAACATGCCTGTGACGTTTGTGGCAAAACCTTCAAGTTTGCTGGCACTCTTAGCCGTCACAAAAAGGCCCACATTCGTGAGGACAGAAAAGATGAAAGGAGCAGTGAGGATGAAAGCAAAAGCATCCAGGATGATGCAGGAGCTCCCTCGATGCAGGACTCCAGTCTTGAGCAGGAAGAGTCTCCGATGGACTTGAAGGTAGTGGAGTCTCCTCTGGACTGTGAGGCGACAGGAAAGGAGAATGAAGAGAGCGAAAGCATTTCTGAGGGGGAAGGCACAGAGAGAAAGTCCACTGAGAAGAGCAGTGATGACAAAATACCAAAGACTGATGAGGCTAAGAGTACTGCAAAAGCAGACAAAAGAAAGAAAGTCTGTACTGTGTGCAACAAGCGTTTCTGGTCTCTGCAAGATTTGACACGACATATGCGGTCTCATACAGGTAAGAGGAGAATTCAGGGCAGAGCAGATAATGAGCAGATCTGCCACCACAGTGATGCATCTTCTCTGTAGGTGCACAATTACTGCTAGTGCATGAAGTTGAGACACTGCTTTTAGTCCCAAAGGTAGATGATGTGAGATGTCATCTTTTCCCCGATCTGCCATTTAAAGCACCTATTACAGGAGCAGGAGTAGTTACACCACCACCTTATCTTCAGCTCCCAAATGGCTTTCCCCCATGTTTGCTTACAGTGTTTGAAGGTTAGGACAAGTATGCAGACCTCCACACAGTCCAGCTTCTCACTCCCTTCCCATCACGTGTGTGTGGCCATACCTCTTCCCAGTATTTTGATAAGCAGTGGATAAACATGGAAGTATGTAAGGCTTCATTTCTGAGTGAAAGTTTAGAGAGAGTGTGTGGTTTTGTCTGATTATCTGGGCCTGTACTGATTGTATACTTGGTGATACACGTGACCTTCTGCTTGAGTGAAAGGCACAGCTACAGTCTGCATTCTTCTCTTCCTTTGGCAGAGAATGTGGAGTATAGGTAGTAAAATCTTTGTCTGATTACTCAGTAATTAAAGTACTAGCGATTGCTTTATGCAATAAATTTCAGCAGTGCATTGAGAAGAAGGTGAAGTCATGAGCTAGCTAGCTCAAGAGTGAATTAGTCGTGCATCCTCACTAATGATGTATTTTACCTCTCAGAGTTACTCTCTCAGAGCTCTCAGCGGTTCTGGTGCGGGAAAATGGAGCAGTTTGACATTTCATGTATTTTGAAATGCTTTCTGCTGAAGATGATATCTTTGTGATTAACTTTGGTTACAAAAATATTTGTGCTGTAATTGAAGAGGGTGCTTAATAAACTACACTAAAGACTAGTGCCTTAGCAAAACTTTCTACCTTTGGAATTGACTTCTCAAGTGCAAAGATGACCTGTTTTCATCCAGTATTGAGGATTCAAAGCTTGAGTGAAACAAGGGATGGATCCCACTGTTGTGGCTGTTTTCATACTAATTCAGAGGATTCAGGAAGATTACAGTATCTAAAATTAGACCTAAATGATACACTGTTGTGTGCCTGAGACTCCCATACCATTCCCATTCCCATCCCATGTTGCATGCTGAGATGCACAAACCATATCGATACATTTGATTTTTTTTGCTGTTTGTTTCTCTTTCTTATTTGACTCTGAACAATGTCAGTGTCATAGAGAAACATAGAATAGGTTAGAATAGAATAGAAACCTGGGTCAGTTCTTCAAATGTAATGAATTTAAACGCCACCACTGTTTATATAATGTGTTTTCAAATGCAGATTTTGCCTCAGAGCTGTGGTTGGCTCAACACTGGTTGACCTTCCTCCTTCCTGTCTCCCTCCCATCCACTCAGATACATGGCAGAGTGCTGTCTTTGTGTAATATTGCCTATACTTTGGTTTTAACCATGCTTGATTCAAGATGAATATAGAAAGTTTTTGGAATACTTTTTAGAATAGTTTTTCTCAGAGGAGGAACTTCTGAGGCACTCTAAAGTGTGTAAGGAACCCCTGGCACACTGTGTGCCTGCTGAATGGATTTTCTTCACCCTGGCATGTAGTTCTGGGCGGCTCTGGGGTCCCAGTCACAGGGTGAGCTGCAGAGCTGCCCTGTTTGGGGATGGGCAAAGGCAGCTGACCAGAAAAGCTCCTGGCTGGAGCTTCAGGAGTGGAGCCCTGTCCTCTGTCAGCAGCAAGGAGAAACTTGGCTCAGAAGTGTCATGCTTCCCACGGACAGCAGGACTGGCTTAACTCCACACTGGTGATGTCGTGATGGAATTGCACCACTGAGAAGTCTTTAGCAATGGCAACCAGAAACACGGGATAAAGCTGTCAGGGTGGGACCTTTGGTTCTTCAGTGCTGGCAGGGCAGTGGTGGCATGTAGCAAGTACCTTGGGGCACTGTACTTGGCCAGGGTCTGGGGGCAATTTTGTCAGCAGAGGCGTTTGTTTTTCAAGGAGCTTATGCTAATGAAACAGATGAAACATTTCAGATGCAAAAAATGGTTCTGATTACAGCATAGGATCTGATCTGCAGCTACTCTGAGGCCTTGGGATGCAAAGTGAGTGGAAAAATTTTGTCTGGAGAGTAGCGTTTCTTGCACAGGTGTGACAAGGTCTCTTTAAGAGCTTTCAAGTGTTTCAGAAATAGGAATAGAGCTCCAGCAGGCTGAAGAGCATCAACAGATTTTTAACAGCATCCCAAGGCACATGCTCTCTATAACTCCCTTAAAGGAGGCTATAGCGAGGTAGGGGTTGGCCTTTTCTCTCAGAAATAGGGGTAGGATCAGAGGAAAGGCCTTAAGTTGCACCAGGGGAGGTTCAGTTTGGATATTGAGAAAAATTTCTTCTCAGAAAGAGTGGTGAGACAGTGGCACAGGCTGCCCAGGGGGTGGAGATATTCAGGAAATGTGTGGATGTGGCACTGAGGGACGTGGTTAGTGGGCATTTGCAACCTTTATGATTTTATGATTATGTGTCTTTCGTTTGGTCAGTAAACATTGACCACTGCTGACAGACACCTCTGTTGTCCTGTGAATGCGTAATAAATCTGGCTCCTTCAGTTGCTCTTTACATTTTGAAACAGCAGTGCTGTCCTTCTGCTTCGCAAAAAGAGTAGCAGTTGTTTGTTAAGAGCAGTTCATGACAGCTTCTCTCTGATTTAGGTAAATAACTCATCTGCCAGTATCTAGGAGAAGGAGATATTCTCTTATGTGCTATTCAGTTTGGTTCACTTATTAAGCCCTACTGACCACAGGTCTGTAGGCAGTGTCCTCCTATCTCAAATCCACTCTCTCTGCGTGTGGCAGGACCTGTAACTCGGAGCCCCCATGGTGGGCTGTGTAGATGGGATGCTAACAAGCACCTGGGGCTCGTGGTCTTCCTCCCTCCCTAGTGCAGGGCCAATGGAGAAGATACAGTAGGTACACCATGTGCTACCCTGTGGTTTTACTGTGTGACTATGGAAATGATTTGAGGAGGTGGGATGGAAAGCCCTCTTTGATCCTAGAGAGTTGCTGCCTCCAGCCAGGTGCAGGAAAGGGAAAATCAGATTCACTGGACTGTGTGGGTTCAGTAGCCTGGCACATCAGAACCACAGGACTATAAAGCTCTACTGGACACCAGTGCACAGTGTACTCCAATCTTATCAAGTTACAAAGGGACAGAACCCATCTGTATTTCTGGAGTTACAGGAGCCCCAAGGCCTTTATATCTGCTTGCATATCATGGTAATACAGAAGCAAAAAGACCGCATAGAAGGAACACCAAAGTTTGATGAAAGTACTGAGCTTCCAGCGTGGGGAATCTTAAGCTGCTTGGAACAAGAGGGAGGTGTGTTTGTGACCTTATGGCTGACCTTCCATTTTCATTCTCTTGCAGGCGAGAGACCATACAAATGTCAAACCTGTGAACGGACCTTCACTCTGAAGCACAGCCTGGTTCGTCACCAGCGCATACACCAGAAAGTCAAAAATACTCGAAACCACGGGAAGGAGAGCGACAAGGAGGAGACCCAATCGAGGTGTGGGGAAGACAGCGAAAATGAGTCCAGCCACAGTGGCACCAACCCCATCTCAGAAAACGAGTGCGACTCCGCGGGGGTTGTTGGCAGCCACCCATCCGGCACCAGAAGCCGAAAGGAGTCCCTGGTCGGCGCGGCCAAGGATGTGCCCTGTGAAGAGGAGAGGCCAAGCGGGCAAGGAGCCGGTGCCGGCCTCGTGGAGCCCGCCAAGAGCGCACAGAAGCAGCCTGCGAAAGACCAGGAGCCTCGGGGTAGCTCCGAGCTAGAGAGACCGCCGGGTTTCATTCAAGACTTGCTGGAGATGCACAACAAAAAGTCTCCCATGAATCACATTCTTGCCTCTGCAGACAGCACGCCTCAGCTCTTGGGGGTAGAATGACTTGCGAGAAGGCTGGGCCCATCCCAGCACACAAACTGAAGCCAGCAGAGCAAGGTTTCCAGGGTCTCGTTTCAGAAGAGTGACCTACAGCTGTGGGGAGAGTATGGCAGACTGGATGCAGTGCCATATGCCTTTCAGTATAATAATGCAAGAGACTACAGTATATACTGATTTGAGTGCCTTACTACTTTATTAGATCTTTTGGTATCATAGATTTTTTTTTTTTTTTTTTTCAAAAATGATTTTTTTAATATTTTAATGAATTATTTGGAGAGGACCTTTTTCATTTAAGCATTAATGTTACCTTTTGTATTGGTGTGTGTGAGCTTGGTCTTGTATATCTGATAGTCTCTGTGTTTGTTCTCTGAGCTGGAAACGGGGCAGTGGGGTGGGAGGCCCTTGGATACCACAGCCAATAACTGGAAGCAATTTATGTGAATTTCATTCGGAACAGTCAGAGGAAACGCAGGCGAGATGTCGGGTGTTGTTTTCTCAGTAGATGTTCTCGCATTTGCCACACGGTGGAGCATTAAGCCTGTTCCAGGCATTAGCAGCGTGGCAGCCGAAGGTGTTCAAAGTGGTTGGAGCCAAAAGCAGGAAGCGCAAAGAATTTCAACCTCATACTTGTTTCCACTTTTCAGCGTTAGAAATGGTGTTCTAGATACTAGGGTTTTTCTTCTGGCCGTCGTGGACTGAGTGCGTATACAGAGAAGAGTTACATAGCAACGTGACCTATGGAAATTATGCACCCGCTGTTATATATGTTTGATTTGCTTCAGTATATTATTATTATTATTTTATAATTATTTTATAAATTCATCAGTTTGCTTGTCTCTGCAGTCAGCAGAAGCCAATGGGCAATATTTGCCCACGCAGACGTGTAACGCAGCTTGGATCCCCTCTTTACATGTTTTGACTTCAAGCTTTCACCAACTCCTCCTCCTATGTTGCAGCTCTTCTACTGTACTTTAATCGAAACCCTTCCTCTGACCGGAGAGTCAATCAGAGGCCAGCAGGCTGTCGTCACAGCCGTGCAGGGGCCGCCCCGCTGCTCGTGGTGCACGTGCCCGAGGACGGCCGTCTCCGTGCCGTCACCAGGCGGCAGCACGCCTTCCTTCGGAGCCAAGGGACTCAGTCTTCCAGTCGAAAGCGAGCAAGAGAGAAATGCGAGCCTTACCGTCGTCTTGCTACTTACCGTCATGTTCTGGAGCAAGAAAATACTACTGGTGATAAAACTACAGATATAAGACATGTTAAAAAAATAAATTAATTAATTAAATTAAAGAGAAAAAGAAAAAAAAAAAATAATAATAAATAGAAATTCTTCCTGAGATTTTTGGGGTTGATGCTTGAAGACTTGAGGTGTGCGTCTAAATTTCATATCAGTAATTTAACCCCTTTAACGCTGGGAGCTGGGATTTCTCCGGATGGCTCCTGTTGCCGGCAACAGGCGATGCTCCAGCCGCCAGTGTTGAAGGGGTTAAAGGAAATGTCTCCTACTGTAGCTGCACGCTTCTGGGAGCGGGCGGCGTTTTTGTTGTTGTTGTTCTTGTTGTTGTTGTTTGTTAATTGTCCTTCAGTCATGACCTCTGGGACAGACAGAGCCATAATAGCGATGCCGGAGCCTCACTGTGCTATGCCACCACTCAGCCCCAACCCGCACTGTGATCTCCCCGCCCCGCAGATCCGCTTTTCCTGCTTTCATCAGACATGGAGGACGTGGGCCTCGGACCCATGCTATATTATATAATATATATCTATATATAGCTATATCTATATTAAAAATTCTCCGAAAGTTTCTGGAGACTGAAATGTAACTGTCTGGAATTCAAAGGAAGAGAAACTTTCTTGAGTAATATTCTTGCAGATAGAATAAGAAAAAAATGGTTGAGGTATATGTGATTTCTATTTTTTGCTTTGTTGTTGTTTGTTAAATAGGGATGTTTGAACCCGTTCAGAAACGAAGCTAACGCCAGAGAGTCAGTCACAACCAATGATTCACTAAATTCACTACCCAGGTGCATTCTACTTAACGGAAACCAGTTCACGCATCCCTTAAATCCTTATTACTATTATAATTATAATAATAATTATTATTATTATTTGGGGTATTTTTTTGGTTCTCGTCGTTTGTTATTTTGGTTTTTTTTTTTTTGGTTTATTCGTTTTATCTGGGTTGTTTTTGTTTTTTTTTTAATTTGTTTTTTGTTGTTTTTTGTTTTTGCAACTCTCCACACTAAACTGCGCAATACTGTGGGGGAGAAGCCATTACTAAACTATATGCTGCAGAATGATGTAGCACGTAATGAATTCCCAGCAGCCTGCCGGGACATCTGCTAGCAATAATCACTATTGAGTTAAAGCTTTATTTAGCCTTTATCTGTATCCTAGTAGAGTATAAGGTCTTGCCACAACTTATTGACATTTTTATTAGTTGAGTTTGACTGAGAACTGTTGCTGTTGTTGGGTTTTTTGTTTCCCCTCCTCCCCCAATATTAAACTGTGAAATTTATAATGTGTTTAAACTATGGGTGAATCTTAGGCTTTAGTTTGCATGTTCAGCTAATTTGTCTCTATACGATTTTTGTTTGGATCTTTTTATTTTTTATTTTTATTTTTTTTCCTCTCTCAGGGCTTTTACATAAAACAAACAGAAAAGGATCTTCTGAAATTCTTTTGCCTGAGTTGCAATGGACTTAACGTGGAGATAATTCAATCACTACATTGAGCACTTGACTGTGAAAGCGCAAAAAGAAAGAAAGAAAAAAGAAAAAAAAAAAAAAAAAAAAGCTAAAAAAAAACCAACAAAACCACCTTGTTTGAGGCAATTCTGAAATAACTTTTCGGGGCTATGTGAGACTGATTCCATTTTCAGAATGATTCGTAATTTTCTCTCTCCTCTATGTGTCTCCTTTCTCTCTTCTCTCCCCACAAAGGAAGGTTAATCCTAGTGATTTCATCCCATGCAGAAACAGTAATAAATATGTAGAATTCATATTTTTCTAAAGGGAACTTAAACTGCTGCTACGAATTGTGTACAAGACTGGTTTATGCCACATGAACAGAGAATCACACATTTGTTTTGGTACTTTTATTCCTCTTTTTATTCAGTTGTACAGTACTTCCAAATTCAAAATAAAAGTTGTTCTGTATCAAACCATCTAAGCAATAAAATGTTATATTTAAAAATTAGAGGTTCCAAAATGGACGTGGCTCTTCTTGTGGGTTTGTTGGCGCTTGGTTTTGAGCTGGAGGACAGCGTGTGAAGCAGAGGTGCCCCGCAGAGCAGCATTGCTGTTTCTCTTCCCTCGCTTGGACTAAGCCAGAGGCAGCACTTTGGCAACCACATGCATTTGCTGTTCTACTCTCTGGAAGCCAAAACCCTTTGAAATGGTGCTCTGCTTTGAGGGCATCTTCTTAAAATAGCAATTGGAAACAGAAGAGACCGCGTTGGAGCTGATTATCCCATGCAGGTGCTGGCTCCAGTGGCATGGCCTTCTGTTAGCTGCAGCCACACCTGTGCGTCCCAACAGCATGGCACGGTGATGGAGAGGTGCTGGGATCTTCTCTGTGCAAATGAAGGAGGTTTTCACCATCCTGGTTTTGGTTTTGCGTAAATGTGTACGGCTGTGAAGTCTTCAGGATGCACAGGGAAGCCACATGCAATTGTCCAAAGAAGATAAATGCTTTGTTGTAGCATGTTGGAGCTGCCTTAGCTACATTTTATATGATTTCGTATAAATAAAGTGCATTTCACAGGACGGTGAGGCAAAGAATCATCCGAGTCGCATATCCAGTTCTGGAGTACAGGGCAGCTGAGAACCTGCGTCTCCTTAACTCCTGGTGGGATGAGTCTTTCTGGTGGAGAAGGGAACCAGAGTCAGACTTACAGACCTAATGGAGGGCGCTGCATGCCCTGCTCCTGCCTTCCTGCCTCCAGGCTCTGGCACCCTCACGGCAGCAGTTACAGTTCCCCATGCACAGTCCTGTGGTGAGGACTCACTACTGAACACGGACAGGTTTTCTTTCTTGTCAGTCGGCACCTGCTGAGGCATAACTCCAAATAACCTCTGGGTGGACCAGAGGGATGGAAACAAGATTCCTGAGGGAAGAAAACTGCAGAAGATCTAGTTGCTGCCACACGTCAGCGGCAGCAGCCCCATGCTCGCTGCAGGGTGCGGAGGTTGGCAGGCCTGAGCCCTCTGCCGCCACTGCAGTGCACACCCCCAGGTGTATTTACTGATAGTGCAGAGCAAACTGGTAAAGAGGAATACAATCGTTTGTTCACCATTACCCAACTGCTGCCCAGCATAGAACACCTGGCACTCTCTCTGTGCGAAGCAGCCTGAGAAGCTCCAGGTTTTAACATCCTCACTTGTAATACAGGGAAAGATGAGGATGCAAAAATACCTTGGGGCTTTTAATGAGGATGTGTCTAAATGTTGGACTGCAAAACAAAAAAACACAAACGTGCTACAGTGGTGTCCTCCAGATCTGGGCTACCTGAGTGACCTGCAGATGCACCAATTCATGCTTGCAGGTCTGGGCTCTGGCCTTTCTCAACATGGCCGACCTGGCATCTTGCCTCAGCTGAGGACTATTACTGGGGAGGTGATTTTAGTTGAGTGAAATCTCCTTCCCCAGGCCTGAAGGGACAGTGTGTCCCACACAAGTACCAGGCATTGCTGCTACTTGTCCACCCGTCCAGGCACTGGTGGCGCATGCCTTTGGTCCCATGAAAAGCTACAGACTTGTCTGTCCTGTGGCACACACAAGTTTCTTAGGACTTACTGGAGGACTGTGGGGGCACAGCAGGAGAGGTACTTGAGAGCAGAACTATTCAGTGTTTTAAGGATCTCCAATCAATTGCACCAGGTGCAAGGGCTGCAGCAAGATCAGCCCCAGGTGCTGCCAAGGCCATCAGCAGTCCGTATTTATAGGAGCAGGTGGGGTCCTCTTCCTGTAACAGCATGGAGAGAACTGTGCTGTGCTCTGGCTCATGCTTCCAGTTTACTTTCACAGAGAAATTTTATTGCTTCTGGAAGTTGTGGAGGACGCTGCGAGCCCAAGAAAAAGACAGCTCTTCCCTGAACTCACTCTACTCTAGCTGAGTTCCTGTGACTGAGGTGCCTCCTGCAGAATATAGGGCCTAAGGTTCTCCCCAGGGTTCTTCTTCCTGCTGTCTAGCATATATGATATCAATGCTCAACAGATGCAGTAAGGAATCTAGGTCAGTTTGTGATACTGGGAGCCATGTGGCTCCTTTGGTAAGGGTTTTTTGGTGTGAGGAGGCTTCCAGTTGCTAGGATCTGTGGCAGTGCTGAGAGACCAGCGTGGCAACACCAGGATATTGGTCTGCTCTGGAACAGTCTGGAGGCTGTAAGATGATGGAGGCTGTTGCACAGAATGGGATACCTGTATGCTGTGTGACTTCATCTGCTTTGCTACTGTTGGCTGCCTGTAATTTCAGGTAAGTGATGCTTATGTACATATGCACATCATGGTGTTGATGGGATGCCTAACGGAGGAGAATGCTGACTTAAATTTTCTGGGGAAGTGAAACATGGCAGAAGGACTTCTGGCAATCCTCCAAGCAGCAGGAACTAGAAATAGCTTTGTCCTTTGCTGTGCTTGCTTATTTCTCTTCTGCCAGATCTGTGTGTTACTAAAGCTGCCAGTAGTGTACAAGGAAACTCTATATGAGGGTCATTTGCAATGTGCTATTGTGAAATAGTTTGAGCTCCTCTAGAGCCTTTCAGCAAGGAGTTGTGAAGTAGTTTACAAACATCAATACTCAGTATGTTCTAAGAGAGAAGCTTGCTGGAGAAATGGCTTCTCATTGTTGAAGGCCCAAACTGTGCTTAGAGCGTTGAGGCCAGTGCTTAGTGTGGTTGAGGCAGGCGTTGCTGTAGCCATGCTAGTAGTATGCTATGGGAAGGCTGGGACAAAATGTGCCTTGTCACCGAGTGTTCTGGCTAACAGTTGAAGTGGCAGCAACAAGAGGAACAGCCAAATATGCTCATTTGTAGTGTGCATTCACAAGAAGTGTGTACACAGAACCAGCAGCTCCTTCCCTACATGCAGGAGTTCATCTTCCTTTGGGAAGCTGCTGAAATCATAGGCTCTTTTCTGTGGACCAAGTTCAGATGGCAGCTGAATGCCCTCATGTCCTGCTAGCACCAAGGGTCTGAGAAGAAGAGGTCCAGGGCTTTGGGAGCTTTCAGTGGGCCAATCCTTTAGAACTTAAAATCATAAAATCGCAAGGGTTGGAAAAGACCTTGAAGATCATCTAGTCCAACTGCCAGCCTATCCCTGCATGCCCACTAAGCGTATCCTTCAGTGCCACTTCTGCTTGTTTCCTGAATACCTCCAGGGATGGTGACACCACCACCTCCCTGGGCAGCCTTTGCCATTGCCTCGCTACTGTGAGAAGAAATGTCTTCGAACATCCAACCTGAACCTCCCCTGACACAACTTAAAGCCATTACCTCTCATCCTATTGCTATTACCTGGGAGTAGAAGCCAACCCCTACCTCACAACCAGCCTCCTTTTAGGGATTTTTAGAGCGTGTGTGCCTTGGGATGCTGATAAAGGCTATTGATGAGTACGGGGGGACAATCACCTCCCTGCTCCTGCAGGCTGCGCCATTTCTGATACAAGCAGAAAAACAAAGAAGGCCTTTGGGCTTCTTGGCCACCTGGGCACATTGCTGGCCCATGTTCAGCCAGCTGTCAACTAACATCCCCAGATTCTTTTCCTCTGTGCAGCTTTCCAGCTACTCTGCCCCAAGCCTGTTGTGATGCACGGGGTTGTTGTGAGCAATGTGCAGGACTCAGCACTTGGTCTTGTTAAAGTTCATACAATGGGCACCAGCCTATACAGATCCCTTTGTGAAGCCTTCCTACCCTCAGGCAGATTGACATCTGCTCCCAGCTTGGTGTCATCAGCAAACTTCATGTGGTTCTTAATGAGAAATTCACCTGCAGGTACACCACTGCATGTGGTATGCACGGACTGGAATCAACACTACTTGTAGCAAAATTCTGCTGTGGCATTCACAACAACTCTGCTGGTCTCAAGATGCTGCAGGAACCCACCAGCTCACAGCTTTGTAAACCCAGTATCTAACAGGGAGAATGTGCCAGCATGGTATGTGCCAACCTTTCCTTCCATCCTGTTATGTGATGGTACAAAGAATGGTTAGGAAAAACTTCTTAAAGAGTGGTGAGGCAGTGGCTCAGGCTGTGCAGGGAGTCACTGCTCCTGGAGGTGGTCAAGAACTGTAGAGATGTGGCACTGAGGGACACGGTTAGTGGGCACAGTGGGGATGGGTTGGTGGTTGGGCTACGTGATCTTAGTGGTCTTTTCTAAGACGATTCTTAATGATTCTATGATGACAGCTTAAATGGGCACCAAAACCTAAGTGTTGTTTTCTATAAGCAAAATTTGACTTCTAATTTGATTTTTTTTTTTTTTAAATAAAAACCACACCCAAATATGTATTATTTATTTTAGGGAGATGACAGCGCTAGTTGTGAGATGTAGGTCTGCTTTAACCAATAAACACTTCTCCTAAGTATTGGCAAGTCAACGCCTGCCATGTGTCACCAGGACCTGGTTTCGTCTGTTGCCTTCATGTTGCTAACAAGCCTAAAGCCTTACATGATTTGAGGTTATGTGTATCAGGTCAGTTACACTTCACAGATAGAGAAAACCAAAGCACAGAGCTGTCTGTGCAGGCACAGCAACCCATCAGAAGCCTGCACTGCAACACAGCCGGTGTAACTTTTGATCTCCTGCCCAGATTGTTATCTGCCAGTATCTCACAGAGCTAAAACCACAGCAGCCTTCTAGCACAGCTACATTAAACCTGGAGATGGTGCTGAGTTGGTCAGAAAAAGATGCCAGGGTTGAGATAAAAGAAAGGAATGAATCTGGAGAAGTGAGCAATTTGGATGGATGGGGAATGGATTTTAGTGTTGATGTGGAGCTGCCCACTGCTTTTAATGCATTTGGTGCTGCTTTGGGTGAATGCATGCCTTTCAAAAATAAAGTTTTTTTTCTGAACTAAACCCCTCTCTTTAGCAGCTGTAAAACACCCAGATAAGAATGAAGGCACTTAATTTGAACGCTTAATTGGAAGTGATAGCAGCACCTCCCAGGGCTCCTTGTGGCAAAGTTTTGCAGAGCA